GTGTTCCTTTGACGTCCCGAGTTATCCAGTCGGTAACCCCTCCGGTTCAACGGAAATCGCAAAATCGCATGACGTTACGATATATCCACGAGTGCTACCTTAGTTGAACAAAATTTTTTGAAAAAAATGTCCTGCGCTTGTCTCTCCAGATGTTCCACAGTAGACCATAAATTTAGTCGATACAGTGGTTTCTTGAAAATTGATTGGATACTGCCTTGAACTGGTTGCCTTGAATATACTAGCTGTTTTATTTACCTTTACGAAATCGGTCGAATAATTGTTTCAATATTGAACTTCATGAATTGATGGTCCTTTTGCGAAGTCGTTCATATGGTTTCGTTATTTCGTTATCGTAAAGTTCATCACGCAGTTATACTGCGTCCACGAATAATAAATAAATAACGTAAATAAATAAGTAAATAAATAAATAGATAAACTATTTCAGGATGTCTGGGCTGCGGATCGTGCTGTCATTGGCGTACTCGCTCTCATCTGGAGATTTGGGTATTGCTGCCATATGTAACGGAGGAGGCGAAGCTATGGCAATGTTGATAAGGAAGCTGTGACAGAAACTGATTTAGCTTCACCACTACGAAATAGGGTTGTTGTAAGCAGCTATTAGTACAAACAACTTTGACCTTGGCTAATATTTATGATTTTCTTCGTGGTATTTCAAGTTCACTTCTTTTATTGTGCTGTATTATCTGCTGAATTTTTAATGCTGACACGTTGCCAATTTTGATATAATTTAAACCAGTGAGCACTCGGTGATTGACAATCAGTGATAAATATATTTTTCGAAGAGCGTTGTACATTGTTTTGTGATGGTCGACTTCGGTGTTTGTTTGCAATTCGCTCTATTCGTGATCGTTGCCGTCATCGTTCTTCGGCGTTTCCAAGTGGGCGTGTCGTTGTTGTTTACGTTGGCACGGCAGCATCTGCAAACAGATGTCGCGCGCAATATACGTGCCTCTTTTCTCTATTGATTTTTTCCTTTTCTCTGCAAAAATTCCGGCCGCGTTTCTCTATCCATCATTCAAAATCTATCAACTCCGTTTCCTAACAGCGCTATTTTTTCGGTTTCTGTCATCCTTGCTTCAAGACGTCCGCTGAGAATCAATGGTTTCAACAAATCTTTGAACTACGGGTTACCGTGAGAGAACTACGTAGATGGTATGGTCTTCGCTAAACGTAAGAGCCAATGCGTCAAGGCCTCAGTGGGGCTTATGAGAAGAAACAAAACATGACAACGCAAAGGAGGGCTCTTAGGACGAAGTGGCTACTTGTGATGGAAGCACACCGTTGAACAAGCTTTCGGGAGAATCAGCCGTGCATTTGAGTGGCTGCTGTACTTCATGGGTAGTATTAATGTGAACTTCCCTAGCAGGGACGGAAATTCATCCAGGAATTTCGGATAAGATGGAACATGAAGATGTGACTCGCGCAGCTCATTCCGAAGAAAAATCGGTATGAGGTTACCCTTCGGCCGCTGTTGATTATTCAGGGGGGGGGGCTGACACTCAAAGAAGACATTCTGTCTCTTTTTTTCAGACGGATTTTTCATCCCAACTTTGCCGATTCAACCGCATGGTCCGAGTTAATTACGAAGATCAGTCTATAAGGACCATAAAATGTTTACATGGCCATTACGTGGACAGCTTACAGGAAGGATTTGCCGGGCAACATGGTTAGCACTTGTCGAAGCTTATGGCAGTCGTTCGAAGGATTCTGTACCCATGACGAACCTTGACTGAAAAGCGAGTCTCGATGGGGGCCTAGCATAGTGGGAGCTGATTGTCTCTAGAAAAAACTATCCAATATTGGGTTCGATCCACGAACATTATGTAAGGGCCTCAGGCTGAAGCGCTTACGGTAGGCCTCCTTGAGCTTGAAGACGATGACAGTATGACGTCATATTCTGAAGACGGTGAGGGCTGAAGGAGGCGCGTATGCTTATAGAGGGAATTCAAAGAATACTGTGCCGAGGAACTCCTGTCAACGGCAGGAATTTCTACGAAAGACAAAGGGCCGAAGTGCGACATGGGCAAAAGTGCTTTTTTCTTTGCCCCCCCCCTTCTGTGCACTTCAGGAAGGCGAAAATCATAGGAAGACATAGCAGGAATGAGAATCATAAGGTTCAGAATATCAAGTGAATGCCAATTCAGATAAGGCATGGTTTCTTCATGTTGTAGTGGTCGTAAAGACTGGCGTGATCTGTGGACTGCACTACGGTGTAGCCACACTTACCTCCCATTGATTCGTATCGTTTTCCTTCAAATTTCCAATCGAACAGTTATGGACATTATGGATGAGGAAAAGCTGTAAGCTGAACTGGAAAGAATACCAATAGGGAGGACATCAACATCATGCCGGAAGAGGGAAAGCACGCAAGAAATTTGGGTAATTAAGGAGGGAGATGTTCCGTTTTCTCGAAGGATCAGGTCAGAGCTGCGTGTTGTAAAGCCCAAGATTAGTCCTACCAGAGAAGTCTTTCAGGACATGGAACGCTTTTCCGAAACGGTTCGCTGCATGTTATAGGGGCACGTGCGTGGAGCATAAATCTGATGATCATTTTTCTTGAGCGACCTTGGAATGCCAGGAATGGCAAAAAAGTTAAAGGCAAAAGTCAGTTTTATGCTCTTTACAGTTGTCTCTGTAATGTGCATAAAAGCGTTAGTGAAAGCGCTCCATGTCTTGAAAGACTTCCCTGGTTATGCTAAGGTTTAGACTTATGCTTACACATTACCTTATGCTTGAGACTAACTTTGATGGAATCTTCCACGGAAAGACTGCTTATCCTTCCCTTGTGTACACGTGTTGGGCATGGTCATTGAAGACCATGTGCAAAGTTCAGACGAAAATGATGGAATCCCCTAAGAGAAACAGCCCTTGATAAGACCCTTCTGTTGGACCGGATTGGACCAGTAGGCGGGACCGAAAGTGCTTCTGTTACGAAGTGCGTGGAAGGCGCGGATCCACGTGTCAGTCTATGGGAAGGGCTCAACATGAATCCAGTTCACGTTCACG